ATGGCTCCTCTAAGTTTTATTCAGGGTAGGGAGTAAACTCAGAGTTACTGTAGATGCAGTAGAAAAAGTGGAAATAAAATCTGGTTTACAAAAGTGATGATTGCAGCCCTCATGTCACAGGAAGTTAAGCTTAAGAATACGAGACCAGCTGTACTGGGTCAGGTCAAAGGTTCATATAGACTGGTATTTTTTCTCTGTGAGAGTATAGAAGAGTATCTCTAGGGAAGAGCATAAGAACAGAGCAAGTATAAATGATTCTTTCAGTAGTATTTCCTCCAGCTACTTGTAGCATAGACTTTCTATGAAAAAGAAATGGAAAATGGAGTTTCTTGCACCAGAAAAGGGTTCCTAGCTGATTTCTTGCTGAAGAAAACCTAAAAAATTGGGAATGCTAAAAATAACAGGCTTTGCCTGAAAGGAGGAAGAAGTCTAGCAAAAGGCTCAGGGTCTGTGGATCTGTGGCAGAGGAGAAGCTAGAGCTCTTGAAAAACTGGAGGAAAGGCTGTTCTGCTCATCCTTTGCAAATGTTTTTAAAGTATGGTGTTGTGAAAGTTGATGTTTACCAGCCTTCATTTCTCCTGGGAGCTGTATAGTGGACATAATCTTGTAAGAAGCCAGAGAGGAATTAAGGAGCTGAAAACAAAATTAATTCATTGTACTTGGGAATGGCATGAGCCTTGCATTTTATTTTTTGTGTTTTCAGAAGTTCTCTGTCTCTTGCGATGAAGAATGGGTCTTCCTTTTGGCAGGCTTGCAAACTGTATGTTAGTTATAAATTGTCTTTATATGGAGCAGCCTGAAAGGCATTAGATTATGGATCCATCTATTGCATCTCATCTGTATCTTTAATGATGAGTAACATTACACAGGAGCATATGCTACCCAAGGGAAGTGCAAAACCAGACCAGTAGAATGTTTTGAAAATGCACCTGTGAAGCACTTTTCTGCGTGGGGGGAGAAAGTAGTTTACTTCTAAATACTAGTCAAGCGTCTCTTATTTTCCATGATTTTAAGGTTCAGCACAAAAAATCCCTCATTCCACTGCTGAAAGAAAATGCATCCAATTTCATTCTTTTATGGGCATTTGGGGAGTCTAATGCTCAATTTCCTTTGGACAAATTCAAAAGAAGCTTAAAAATAGTTTTAGACTCTGCTGATCACAAGTTATTGTTGTGATACATAAAACCATCAGAATTCTGTGACTAATGATCTTTAGCTGTCTCTTAGACTGCACCTAAACAACAGTTTTGGATCAGTTGAGAAGCAATTGAGATCACTGTGGTAACTGACAGATGTTATTTATGATGCCTCATTTGTGAAAACAAAATACATAACAAATGGCTTCATTTTTCAAAGGCTGCTACTGGGAGTTCTTAAGGGTAAAATGGTTTTATGCCAAATTGTGAACTGATTGCTTCTAATCAACCAAATGATGGTAGAACCCTATGAAAAGAACATACACAATCTATCATGTTTTAGCCTCTTGATAGGCCTTCTAAACGCTACCTTATGCTGGCATGTATCCACACAAGCTTTTAACAGATCCTTAAAACAAGTGAAACAACCCACTGTACTGTCTAACAGAGCACAGTAGCACAGAATAAGAGTGTTAGTTACTTTAATGTCACTTACAAATCAGCAATGCCATTTGGAGCAGAACATTTAATTACAAGATGTTTGTAATTCTTGTCAAGACGGTTTGTGTGTATCAGATGTAAGTTAGACAGCAAGCTAGAAGCATTACAGAAATGGGAAATTGTTGCTATCATGTCATCGTTGATAAGTGTTGTCTTATTGACTAGGAATAATCAAACTAGATTTTGCAAAAACTCACTATCCAGAGAGCAGTAAGTCTTCATTGTCTACACCTTAAAGGGGATTCCCCCTAAGCATACACTGCAAATTTTGTCATGTTGCAGTGTGCATATTCTGGCTTGTATTGGCTTCAGAAAAGAAAACCAGAAGGCATGTGTTCTGCCACAACTTAGCCTTTTTTTATTTGATTTTTCCTTTTTTTTTTTTTTTCCACGTTAAGTTGCCTCCTGTGTCTCTTGGGATACTTCTGAGATATTTTCTGCTGAACTGGAGCTAGAAAGTCAGCTTTTGATCAAGCTTTAGACTTGTAGGATTGAGTTGCAAGTGTGTAAGCCAGTGCTGACCTAATCTGTTTCATCTTCTCTTCTTGATCTGCAGAGACTCCAGCTGAATGATGAGGGAGCTGAGTTGAGCACATCTGCTTTGCGCAGTGTGCTTGTCTCATACCCTAGTTGCAGCACCCTCTTATGTGAATATGAGCTTGAAAGAATTACACCTGTATAAAGACTTTTTATTGAAATGTTTATTCACTTATCATGTCTATAACAGCCTCTTTTCATTTGTTTCCTTTTTAATGTTTAATCGTCTTAAGTTTCAGAATACCTAAATTTGAGTATGACTTCTGATAAGTTTTTATTTAAGAACTTCAAGGCTAACATCCAGCCCTGGGTATAAAAACACAACATGTCTAGCAAATGTAATGTCAGCTTTGATTGAAGAAGGTACCAAAATACATAGGTTGTCTCCTTTGCCAATGAAGTATTGCTGCTATTTTAAGGAGTAGCTCTGGTTTAGGTTGCTTAAACACTTCTGTCTTGAATGAGAAAAACCCCAATATTGGACTGTTTAGAGAAGACCCATAAACATGCTTGTTTTGAGGCTGGCAGGTGAAGTCCAAGATACATAGTACTGTTTTTGATATTTGTAGTTCCTAAGAGCACAACTTCAATGTAATGACATCAAGCAGGGTTACTGGAGTGACAAAAATACACTTCTGTCAAAGCGGTGTAACTTAATAACAATGCATATGGATTCTAGAAAGGCATCTAAGTATTGAAAATATTTGTATGTCTTAATAATTGAGGCAAGTATTGCCAACTTACTCTCCTGCCAAAAGATTTTTTTCCAGGCTGCAGTTTTCTGACTGGCAGTTTTTATGTGAGCTTTATGCTGACCAGTAACTTTGCACAAATAGCTGGACTGAACTTATTACTTGAAGGGAACTTGATAAATGAGCTAATGGAGCCTGAAATCCGTTCATTAAAGTAGTAGTCTTATGAGTGATTAATTGGCAACAGTATTTTTTATTAAGTAATCCATTTAATTTTCTGGCAGAACACCTAATGAATACTGGGAGTCCTGTCTCCTCAGTCAGCAAGTGTAGTCAGTGGTGGTTGCCCATTGAAATGTTGTTTTATATCTCTGCTTTTACTACATGTACTTCTTTGCACTTTGTCAAACAAACCCTAAAATTTTAAGGATTACCCACCACATTCATGCTGATGCTGCAAACTGATGCCTCTCAACTGTAGATTTGAAGGGGGATCTTTTCTGAGCTGAGAGTGTTTTTTCTGAAATAGTCTGACACGACTCACACTGAGGAAAAGGTGAAAAGAATGAAGCTATATTTCTGTCTTTGTGAAAGCAGGACCAGTGAACAACAGTGTACGGTGTTCTTGTGGTGTAATTCTTGCTCCATGAATGGCTCTATTAATGCATTTTATTTAATGTATTTTATGGTCATAAGGTCATTTCTGAAGGACAGATGGTAACATATCCATGATAGTAGAAGTTGTTGCCCTTTACCTTCCAAAGGACATGCAAATTTGTAATTATAATGGATCTACTTATTAACACAAATTGTAAGTCACTGTCTTATTTTTACGAGTTCCTCAACAAGTAGACAAGAAATCACTCAATCTAAATTTTTTTTTTCTTGCATGTCTTGCAGACAAATAAAACCACTTTGAGATCACCCAGCTTTTATTTTAGCAAACAATATGTCCATTTTTTTTGCTGGCTTCCAAGGAAGATTTTGCAACCCGGATAGGATCAGTGTTGTGCTTCCGCTTCTTTTGTAAAGACTTTCCCAGTACTAATTCAGATCCTTTTGGCATTGTCAATGTGTCTGTCATCAGTTAATTAAGAAAAAAAAATCATCCGCATAAATGCTGCACTTGTATCTCTGGTTTTGCTAATAAGATCTGTAGTGTAGATCATCCATTTCCTGATATCCCTTAAGGTAAATTATGTGGTAATTATGGAGCAGGAGAGACACTTCTTACATATGTGAAAGTATGGTTAAAAATTTTACTTTTGTACACAAGTTTCTTCAGTCACTGGCATGCTCAGATGACCTTAGAGTTGCGGTGTTGAATTCTGCCTGTCCTCCCCCCTTGAAAGCTCTTGCATGGAAAAAGCTCTTAGCAGTAAAACAGTTATGTGTGGTTTGTTGGTAGCATTCTGATGATTGTTTTAGCAGCCACAAGAAGTAAAAGATCAGGCTTCATTTATATTGCCAGAAAAAAAATTCATTTGGGCAACACAAAATATTCGAAAGCTGGTCTATGGTTTTGAAATAGAAAGAGCATTTGTCATGCCATCTGAGCATGGCCAGAATTTTAAACATACCACAAGTGCTTGAAACTATTCATCAGATGTATGCTCTGGTCCAGTATATTTTTGTTTATACCTGCTGGTAAACAATAATGCTTTCTTCTCCTGGACTTTAGTAATAGCTTGGCCTGAAGTATACTTTATTTATAGGTTTGAGAGTGTCTTTGATCAGGCTTTTTTCCAGCTTCTGCAACAGTTTGGGTCTTATTTTCTCCTTTATTCTAAAAGAAGCATTTAGTCTTACTGAAGACAGGGGAAAAAGCTAGTGGTACTTTCCTGATAATGAGCAGAAAATTACATAATAATCCTTTTTCATGTATTGGTAGCACTCTAGACTGACAGTCTTTTCCCTGGTGTTTGTTTCTTTCCTAAGAATCTGGATTAGCCAAGCATAACTTTGAGACAACTACCGTAAGAATTTTGGTAGTAAAGCATTCATTGAAATCTATTTTGGAGCTCCTGCTCTATTTATTTATTTTTATTGCATTGCAATCTTTAAGCTTCAGTCTACAAGCAAGGTTTTATTTTTTAATGTGTAGTATAATAGATAATCTTTATTTTCTTTGTAGGTTATTGCAGAATGACCCTGCATTAAGCATTTGTGGAAGAAGCAAGATTTAAACATCAGTTTTTCAATGTGCATCCTTCTGTTCAAATTTGACCCCCGACCAGTTTCAAAAAATGCATACAGGTAACAATGGTTATGGTTAAACCAGACTTGTTTCTATAATTATTTTTGAAATTTATTTTTGTAGCCAAAGTTTGAATTACAAACTCAAGTCAGTATATGTGTTCAATTATGGTTTTGTAATGTTTAACTTCATGACTTTCTCCATTGGAGTACTTGCTATATATAACCTTTTGAAAACCCTTTGTTTTTAGACTGTGTCAGAAGACTTGGGCTTTGCACTCATGGACATATCAGACATGATGGTGATCTGTAATGTCATATAGGATAGCTCCTTTAAGTATTGTAATCCAGAGTCTTAAAGTCTGGCCTTTTACTCTATCATTTAAACCAAGGGGAATCATGTGTGTTTGGGGCATCACAGCTGTAGCTGTACCCTTCTCTGTAGTAGGGTAGATATGTTTACGGCTTTCAGTTTGAAACCAACAATTTGAATTTATCCAGTTTGAATTTGGAAGTAATGGTCAGGCAGTAGAGCAGAAGTATTGCATTTATTAACCACTTTGTATTATTTTATCCTCTCTTAATTTGTGTTGGTCAATCTTGCGAGCCAAGAGACAGTAGACTATGACACACATGGTCTATCTAGCATGAGGTGTCCCTTCCCATGGCAGAGAGGTTGAAACTAGGTGATCTTAAAGTTCTTTCCAACCCAAACCATGCTATGATTCCCCCTCCTCCAAATCTGCTTGCAAGTAAAATTTTATGTTGAAATTTTATTTCAGTAAAATTAATTCAGATTTTAGGTAATTAACTAACAGTCATGTGTATGAAACATTTCGCCAAAAGCTTAAAACAAAAATAAGCATCCATGCTTCTAGGTGAGTTTTACTGGATGTGTTCATATAACACAGTGAGTTTCCCAAACTAATTAAAGTTCCTGTAATATTTTTTTCTCATTACAGTCCTCAATTTTGAAAGTTCATATCCAACATCAGTATATTTGAGTACATGTAATATCACTTAAGGCCAGTAAGAAGACTGTAGCATTCTACGGCTTTCTGTATTTATACATACTGTATAGGTTCCATGTTGCTTTGTGGGAAATAAGTATTGTCATTCATCCAGAAACTGCCAGAGTCAGTATGTGCAGCAAATCACTGTGGTTTTCGTTTACTTGTTTTTCTACCCTTTTATATTGAAAAGCAGATGCCATTCTATAGAAAGAAAGGAAATGAGAACCAAAACTCAAGTTGTCCATGGAGCACATTCCTTTCTGTATCTGTAATCTCGTTTAAAAAGTTTTTATTTATGATGTGACTGATGCTAAATTAATAAATCCATTTATTTGGTCTGACTTACTTTCTGTTGCTCGTTAGCAAAAGACAGATTCATCAGTTTGATGCCTCTTGGGAGGATCCTTTGGATGTAAACTGTAGTTGTTTGCCAAGTGAACTTTCTGCCATGATCAATATTCAGAAGTAAAACTTACAGTAGTTTGCTTGCTATAAAAAATTGCATAAAGATTGAAGTTATTGATTTACAGGAAAAAAGAATGTGTTATCAGTGGCAAAACAGGAGAATACTTTTGAGATGTTTTGGTTCAAATTTGGGAATATTTAACTATATTTAACATTCTCAGTACCCTCTAAGTTATGTCTTGCTCTATACCTCAGAGGCAAATTACTCTGAGCCATCTGTTTTGGTGGTAAGTGCCAGGCCATAGTGTTCTTGGTGTCTGATTTTAGCATCAGATGCATAAGTTTAGTTCACTTTTTTTTCATTAATACACCATAACTAAATCTTCCTGCTTTTATTTATTCAAAAGTTCTTTCTTAAATTGTTCCTAAGTTTTTTTCACCCTCACCTCTGCTTTCTGAAGGACATTGGTTTGAATATCAGTTTGGAATAACACCCAGCTTTCCTAATTCTGTGAACAATATTACAGCCATTAGACCAATTTAGACCTGTTTATAATAGTCTCTTGCTAAGTATAATTTTTCCTGACAACTCGTGTGTGTTGTATTATTCTATAGCTCTGTTTATTTCACTGTGAGGTCCTGGCACAGTTTTCCCAAACAAAAGGGCATTCTTATACCTGCAGGCATACCAATTTGTCTGTTCACATTAAAACAGGCATCTACAACTCCTTTTCTTGCTTTCTTCTTCTTTGCATCTCTAACTAAAAGAAAGTGTCTAAAATAGACATTAAAAGTTTAAAAGACAAACTGCATATCAATTGTCATTTTCTTGTAGCCAGTAAACTTTCTTGAGCTAAGACATGATCTCCATAGCACTTAAGAGAATTTTCCATCCAGGTAGACTTTGAGTTCTAGAACAGTACATTGGCCAATTTCCATAAGCACCTAATTAAGCAAAAAGCTCAGAGTTCACCTTTGTGATACGCTAATGAATCTGTTTTCCTGTACCCTTGCAACCTGCTCCTTTTTCCTCTGTCTTCTCTGTACAGGCCTATTTGTAGTAAAGTTTAGTGCGGTGTAACAGGCACTTTATTGTAGTCTGTTATTATTGTCAAAGGTAACAAGCTGCCTTTACATCTTTGTGAACTACACTGTGTGTGCCTTACAAATAAATACATATTTCAAGCTTCAAAGCTATAATCAGAGTCTCTTTTATGGAGCTGAATTACATTGTAGGAAATTGCTTTAATGGAATGCTTTTTTATGTTTTCATCTCTGCCTCAACATTAAAATAAATCTTAATACGTAAATCCTGATACAGTTGCATTATTTTAGTTATAAAAATAGCTCAATAGGCTTTTTGCAATTTATTAGAAGATGAGGGTCACTTAATATTGCTCTCTTACAGCGTGATTATGTTTCATAGAAGACAAAATGAAGCTATTTTGATTATAGCTGTCCTGTATATGAGCTTTGTGCTAAACTTAGGAGTCTGTGTATTAAACTTGAGATGTAGACTATTCAGTCACATCAGAAAAACTTTGCTTATTTTTGGTATTTAGATAGTATAAACCAACTGTGGTTTTCTGTTGAGAATGTTTGAAGGCAAAATGTAATTGGAGCCTCAGGAAATGCGAAATGTACTTCAACCAAGCTAGTCTTTAACAGTAGATGTGCTAATTTAAAAAAAAAAAAGCCTGTAAAAGAAAGATGCCTGCTGTAAATGGAGGAAATTCAAGCAAGATGACAGATTTGGTAAACCAGCTGAAAGCCTATAGAGTGAAGACTAGAATCAGCTAGAAGGAGAAAAATAATGCAAGTCTGAAAGGAGCAATGTTATGAGTATTTGGCATTGAAAAGATAAAAACGTACATACGCTGTGCTTTCCAACAGATGCTATCTTTGTTGGGCAAAATACTAAGCATCTTTCTTACAGAAGGGATGCCATTGAAGTATTAGCCTAATTATAATTCTCCATCTGTGTTTCTAATGTGCAGCTGACACCTCATGATTGTGTTTTAAAACATTGTATTAATGAAGAGATGATTTTTCAGGAAAGTCCAGAAACCTGCAGAAAATGTCAGTACATTTTGAATGCTGAGTGAAGTAATGAGACTTCATGAAAATTGATTCTGGTGTTGTGGCTTAAAAATTAGAATGCAAATTGTATGGTCTAGCTTCACTTTACAGTAGTAAACTTGGCTTCTGCTGTGTGAATGTAATTGACATGCAGCTGGTAGGAGGAACTGACAGTGAAGAAGATACTGAGGTTATAGGAATTGGTTAAGAAAATCTGCAGGTTTCTGAAAGGTGACATTTCATTAAAATTAAATATTAAGCAACATAGCTGGAGAGAATGAGGAGAGCTCACAATCTTGCAACTGAAATAAAGGTGAGTCATGTTATGGGTAATAATGAGCAGGACTTTGGAAGCACTGGCTGTTCGATCATGTCATGGTGTAGTGGAGTTGTCCACAAGCATGCCTGCAGTCACCTGTTGTCCTGAGTCTCCAGCATATGGCTTGCCTAAGGTTACAATTGTCTTCTGCCCTTTACTTGGGTGAGCCAAATTCTTTACCTTTAACTTTTTTCCTTCATTTTTTTTATAATTTTAATTAAAAAAAGATTGAAAAAAGACTGATGGAGAAGCAACATCAAATAAAAGCTCATCTGCAGGTTTGCAAACGGCAGTGTGAAGGCTGATTCTCAGGACAGAAACCCAGTAACCCAAGTAGCTCAAGCTTTTATTTGGATATCCTATATCTATTTGATGTTGCAGTAAGTCATGAAGTTTAGTTTCTGATTGTCTTCCATTGCTTTTGAATAACAGAAAATGCGAACTTTCAAAAGATGGATGGGCCCAGTCAGATTAGGCTACATTTTATTTCTAGTCTTCCAGTGCTAACACTGCCAATGAATTTCAGTAGGGCTGCACCTCTGAGACTATCACAAATTTCTCTCTGTAATGGGTACTTACAGACAAAAGCATCTGACTTGTATCTTTGAATCACATAAATAGAACTTTAGGTGTAAAAGTTAGATTAAAAAATACTGTGATGACATGATACTAAGTAATGATCCAGTAAAAAGATACACTCAGATTAATTTTTTTAATACGAATTACCTATAAATCTGTGGGTTACCTTCAAGTTTTCTTTAATTAAGCTGTAACTTCACATGCTGAGGAATTGCATAAGCAATCTTTATTCAATCTCTTGTGTTGTATGTATTATTCTTTGAAAAATCCTAGCTGTCTCATTCACACAAGATAGACTTGCTGACTGTCTCAAGATGATGAGAGAGAAGGCTGCTGTCAGAAGTCATCTGACCTTTACACTGAATGATAAAAGTGAGATGTGAGGATAAAGGATGGTTTCATACTTAAAATGAGTTTATGCTGTGGCAAGAATTGGATTTTGCTCCTGCCTGTACTGTGACATTCCTATTTGTAAGTAATAGTATCTCTTTCCTCTTGTGTTCTACAGGCTTATTCTAGCAGCTAATAGAGATGAATTTTACCACAGACCATCCAAATCGGCAGAGTTTTGGGACAGCAGCAATGAGATCCTTAGTGGTACGTGTGTCTTTTATGGAAACCACTTAAACCAACAATTTATAAGGGTATTATGGCCTAGATTTTTTGGCTTGGGGTGGTAGTGTTTCACTTCTAATAAGAAATATGCTTCTTCTCTATACTTCTGTGGAAAACGTCATAACTTTGAAAGACAAGTTGTACTACTATTATCTTATTTGTGTTTCATATCTTGTAGGCGCTTTCCAGTTTTACATTCTTTAACTGATTGCAATATGAGCAGTGCAGTGGAAATACATCAGGTTAAATTGTCCATCAGAAACTATTAGCTTAGCTTTGTCAGATATACTGAAACACATATTAAAATAGGTGGAATTAGTTATTCCACAGATTCACTGTCTGTAATAGTGACTCAAAATCATTAAGCCAAGCCTCAAGAAAGTGAAAACTTTCTCGTTTCTTATTGGTTAATAATTTATAGGCTTCAGAATAATTTTAGTTATTGATCCATCCGTTTATTAGTTTTGGTGTCTACGTTTTGCTAAAGTGATAGTATGGTCATTCAGCTGTCTGGTTCTCCTTTGTAGGGAATCAAGCTGTAGTCATTTTTAAGTATAATCAATACTTCTGTCTTTTCTCAGAAACAGAAATGGAGCTGTGGAAGGCAAAGCATTGCTTAAATGCCAGGTTTTGACTTTGCAAATATTCTTTGTTGATGTTATGTGTTATTGTCATTGGCAGGGAGGCCTGAGAGGATAAATTACTCCCACTGCACTACGACTCCTTTGCTTCTGATGTTCTGGCTGATGCTTGTTTTATGCCAGATATTCTGGATGCTGCTTCCCCTGCTCTGTAGCAGTTTAAAACAAACAAAAAGCTATCCCTAAATTGAAAGGTCCTGAATTTTGCCTTTTGTACCCTTGTCAGGTCTGTCTGTATTTGGCATGAGAAACTGTATATTCTGTATATTCTCCATGCAGGGGGTGTGTCTGTGGAGATCCCACGAATATATGGGATATAACTGCCTTTGAATTAATAATGTTATCTCAAATAAAAGCAGCAAGTTGGAGCAAAATAAATCAAATTTCTTATTTGTGTGACTTAAAAATAAAAATAATATTTTGCACTTAACAGATGTTTCAGAAAAGAGGAATATGTAATCACTGGGCATTGGTCAACAAAGCTTTATGGTTTCCTTTTGCGTGCTTTTCAGTTAAGGTAGAGAAACAGTACTAAAAGTATTGTGTAAAGATGGGATATGGCTGAACTCGATATTGAAGTTTTGGATGTGGAAGAAATGAAGGAGCTTCTGAATAAGTATCCAAAATCTGTTCTTTTGATCTTCAAATTATGATTCAGGATTTAAAAGGTTTCTGAGAGCATACATATTATATTGAACTGGTTCTTGGTTTTCCAGTAAATGCTTTCTGGTTAACATGAGCTCATTACAAACAGGTACTGGTTTGATTGGTTGTTGTTTTTTTTAACTTGTACTCTCTTTCAGGAGTTTGTTGTGGCCTACACTTTTGTGGGTCCTCTTTCTCAATGTAAATTACTGTTACCAGAGTCGAAGATTTTTATCAGTTTCTTAGCTAACTCTACATTTTTCTGTTTGTGTGAATTTAAACTTTCAGATCACATTAAACTTCTGAGATTTGCTTCTGAGGTAAGAAGCATTCTGAGCCTAGTGAGTTTTATATGTAGTTTAGCATATAGGCAAAGCTTATAATTTTGCCTTTATATTTAATTTTCACATTCTATCTCATGAATTATTGCAGTAACTTGGTAAATGTTTGTGCAGAATTAGAGGGTGGACAATTTAAGAGGGCTGACCTCACTTGTCGAGAAAGACAGTCTTGGACCTCCTGCATTTTATCCAGCCTGATCAAGACTCAGGATTTGCATTAGGAAATTATGATTTAAGCTTAAGGTTTTGTGGGTTTTTTTTTTTTTTTTGTTTGCTTGTAATTTAATGTAATAGCCTAACTCTTGCTTATTTCATTAGGTCTGGATATGGAGGAAGGAAAAGAAGGTGGGACGTGGCTGGGAATAAGTAAGAAAGGCAAGCTGGCAGCCCTGACAAACTATATGCAGCCAAAGACTGATCAAAATGCAAAAGGAAGAGGTATGAAGGAGCAGAAATAGAAAAAGAAGGAAGTAGACAAACAAGACCTAGTGTCCCAGAAAAATAGTGATGATTACAGTATAAATTTTTAACACCACTTTATGGACAAATAAAATGGTTATTGTGCTATTAACAGAATCTGTGAATGGATGAGTTTGAATACCTGTGTGGTATTCAAAGCTTGACTTGGATAATGATACTTTAATCAAGCAGGCAAAACTAAAACAAGATGTAGTGCCTAGAGCCTGAAGTTACATTAAAACAAGAAATGCAGTACCAACTGTCTTCTCTTGAAAGTAATTCTAATTAACAGTCAGAACAACTAGACAAACACTGAGCTAGATTTACATTAGACTTTTTTAGGTGTATATGTTGTTCATACACCCAAGTCAGGGAAACAGTGCAACTTGGATTATGCTGGAGGTTAGCCTGAGATTACTGTAGTCCCTTCTCCCTTACATATTGATACACTGGAGGAGCAGAAGTAAAAATAAACCCTCCTCTGAAAGGGAATGTCTGCAGGGGTTTTCTAAAATAAAAATAGGTCTGTTTGTCATACGGTACTGTGTTGGGCATATATTACAGTGGCAAAACATGTAACACACATGAAAGAGAGAAACAAATGAACCCTGTCATTTTGTATTTCATTTTAGGGTCATTTATGGGGGAAATGAAGCAAGACAAGAAAGAGCTTGGCAAGGTGGAAGGAAAAGCCCATGCAGTATAGAATAGTTAGTAAATATGAATTCTGTGGAAATTTTAACCAAGAGCTTTTGACTGAATTCTTCAGAGTAGAAGTCAAGCTCTTAATGTGAATATGATACAATGCTGTAAGACTTCTAAAGGCTGGTTGGTTGGTTTGTTGTGGGTTTTTGGTAGGTGCTTTTTCCCCACTGTTGGACCCTGTTGGTAACAGAAATCTTGTGTCTTACTGCTTGTTATACCGAGTCTGCCGGAAGAGTGAGTTCATTCATGTAAGTTGCTCTATGTACTTCTCTTTCTTAGGTACCCTTGTGACAAACTTCTTAACTGGAGATCTGGACAGCTACACTTACTTGAAGAAAGTCTCAGTAGAAGGACATCTTTACAATGGATTTAATTTATTAGCAGCTGACTTGAAGTAAGTCTACAAAACATGACAGGTCAAATGTCAAAGGCAGAAAGATAATAGCAGTGACTTTCTTAGTGCAGAGGTATAACAGTACAGAAACCCATCACAGACTAATGCTAGAACTCTTCTTTTTTTGCTAATTGGTGTGTGACATCCTAATGTTACTCTACTCGTAATTCTTTTTTGTTTTCATCTTTCAAACACTGGAGGCTATCTTTTATTCTATTCATTGCTTCCCTCAAAACTTCCTGTGACTGCCTAATAGGTCATAGTCAGTCTTTACCCTGAAGGCTGTGTGGCTTGTGTCTTGGAGAAAACAAAACCCTGGCTCCATAATTTCTCAGATTTCTTTTTTTTCCTTTTTTCCTCTGAGAGGTTGCATGCTCTGCAGCAGGATTAGAATAGCTGAAAGCTTTCAAGCCGTTATTCCTGTCAAGTGGCTGTGTCATTAATCTTTGCTGAAACATTAAAAAGAATCAGCACATAACAAATATGTTAACTTCAAGTTCCTGTAGCTGAAGAAAGGACCTTAGATGTTTTATTATAGTCAATATGGCTGGCACAGTGCTTTCCACTGCACATGCATGTGTGTGCTCACAAATACATATACTGATTTTTCTTTGCATTATGCCTGATCAAGAAGAATGGAAATCCAGGACTAAAGTCATTTCCAGGCTATATATCAGTGCTCAGTTAGATGCACTCTTCATGACCTTAAGCAGGTATAAATTGTGAAGAGCGCACTAATGCTTTGCTACGCTTTCTGCAGAAGCATTTATCTTAGTAGACAACCTGACGGTGCAAGGCCTTCACCTGTTCACCTTTTCTGCATGCTTCTGCGAAACTACGGATGCTTAAAGCAGAAGGGCCCAGTTTTTGCTGTTTTCAGTGAAAATAATTTCTAGGACCCAATCACTGACTGGCCTGTGTTTACATTTTTCACTTTCTGTATTAGACCACCTTCAGCTGGTGGCTCAGAATTCCCAGTTATTTAATCATCTTTTTGTTCCCACTTTCCTACAAGTGTTTTGTGGTTTTTTTAAGGAAGTCCTTTATTTCAAATTCTGCCAGGCTATTCGTTTTCATTTTTTTAATTTGCTGTGTTATGATGGGAAAGTGAAGTGAAACTCTTGTAGGTGATCAAAGTCTAAAAGGATGAATACAGAAAGGCAAGTATGTGCCACCTCTGAAGGCACCAGGAATGCCTGCTTAGAAGTAAACATACGTTATGTTTCCAGAAGTTTAATCCAGAAGCAGGTTAGGCAACACAGGGTTTGCTGTTTTTATGTTGTTTTTACTCTCTTTTTTATGAAGTTCATTATCCCACCAGACACTTCTCAATATTTTTTCTATTGCTTACATTATTTTTTTTACCATGGCCAGAGGATTTGACTCTCTGCTCTCTGCTGCATGTTGCTACCTGGCTAGCCTTCCAGAGGTGGAAGGCTGTCTATAATTGAAAAGATAACAGAAGAAATAGCCTTAATATATTTTCAAGCAAACTTGATATTCATAGCAAGCAGTAAGTAAATCTGAGTTTCTTTGTTCTAATATAGGTAAATGGAATAGTCATAATGGCTGCTAGTATAATGTTATTAAAATAGGTTAAATGGACATTATTTGTTAAGGCAATCATTCATATGTTGCTTCTGTTTGTTTATTTCTCCATGCAGGGCTGATAGGGGATTGTATGCTCAACCGAATAGTCTTTCTGTGGTGATGCAGGTCATAATTCCTTGCTGAATATTACTCTGAAAGCTGTATGTGTTGATTAACTTCTCCATTTTGACACATCCTTAGCCTTGGATACTCTGATGAAGTGAAATTCTTGCCAAGCTAATGATGCACAGCAATTCTATAAGAGATGTTAACTTGTCATTTTAGGAAATTAGAAGTACTCCTGTGAGAAATATAAATGGAAGCTACACTCTGTGTAAATAGAAAATGTTATTGTGGTGAATGCTATTTTGTTGAACTATGTTGCTGTTCAAAGTAAAGATTGAAGACTGCTTTTAACATGTATTAATAAATAGTGATTGGCTCTGTTAGAGTGGGGGAAAATGGAGAGGAAACTCAAATTGAAAGTGTAAAGGAAGCACTGTTGGGGAGGAGTATATCTTAGTACATGATACTGATGGCTGTAAGCAGCACATTGAGATTTACAATGTTTGTGTTTTCAGGTACACATTTCAGGAAAAGAAATTTGTGTCTTCTCTCTGTTATGATGATGACAATGTGCTAAGTGATACAGGTGCAATGATGTGAGGAGTGCTGAAAAAGACCATATGGGTTGTAAAATTGCATTCATTTCCACAGTTTGGTGCGACTTATTTTAAATGTGCATGGGTTTTGGCACTTTTAGTGTGATCTGTTTGCTCCGTGGTACCTCGTGATGTCAATTTTAATGCTATTCTTTTCTGGTTTTAATAAGAACACTGTATTGATAAAAATGCTCAGTACTTTTCTCATCTCTTCAGTGTATCATCTGGCTATACCTGCTGAGTATAAGTCATGAATATTTATTGCATTATATTAAATGTACTTTTATGTTGAATGTGTGGCATATGGCAAACTCTATTTGAAGTCTTGTGTGGCTGCAAAAGTAGCTTTTAAGAGGGCAGTGTCACTACTCCTTCAATTTTGTCTGTCAGTTGGTCTGATTAGAGAGGAACAAATTCATCAGAGGCTGGACTGGTCTCTTAAAAAATGTCTGCTTAAGATTCAGAGCAGTTTTCTTTCTTCCTTTGTGATAATTTCTGAAGTAATAGTGAGCTGGTTTTGTCAATGATTGGGAAAGCTTTTCTCTTGGGGAAACCTGTGTTTATGTCCAAGAAATCTAGTTGCTACAGTTGTTCAGACTTTCCTGGGTGTCTCAATACTTGTATTAGGGCTGTTGTGGCAGCATCTCGCTTGTATTCCATATGGCCAAGTATGTGATACAGACTTCCCTGAAAGACAAACTGAAGTGGCAGCTTCTTGTCACTCTCCCAGCAAGTTTAGGGTCTCTGACAAGTTGCCAGTGAAAGCCCATACTGTTTATGTGCAAGAATATCCCTGTGTAATAGGAGTGAATCACTTTCTCCATGAGGACTAAATGAATTGTCCCTAACAAAAACAAGTGAGAGGAGGTGCAGAAAAAGGTCTTTCATTTAAGCTTTTCTGCTCTTTCCTGTGACTGGGAATTTTCAACCCCTCCAGGGGAAATGTAGTAAACTGTATGATCACCTGCACTGACTAATTTTGTAATGTATTGAAAATGGAGATTATGTACCAGAACTTATCCTTCATGTTCTGATCTGGAGAGTGAAGTTTGGCTAATAATAGGTTTTAGGACTGAGTTCCAGTTGAAACTGCAGATCCCCCAAAGCAGTGGGGTTGGGTTGTGTATATGGGGAGGGGAATAGATGCACGAATATACAATATGTAATACATGTTTTAAAGTGTTTATATTTAAATATCATGAGACGCTGTATATTTTTTCTTTTTTAATATGGAAATCTACAGTAGGTTAGTGATGTAGCAGCATCATTGAGATAAAATCAAGCTGAAGAAAGTGTTTGGAGATTAAATGAATGGTTCATAGTATAGGGCCTTGTAAGATTAAAACAGCTGAACAGTGTGACCAGGTTTTGGAAACAGGGTCTGTCTTACTCAGTATGATTATCAGTAGGAGACTGTGTAGGAGGGATTTGATTGCTCTCCAGAGATTAGGATCCTTACCAGTGCAAAGTGAGATAGGGTCAGGCTGCTGGTGTGGAAAGAATGTAGATGGGCAAGTCATCGTGTGCTCTGTAAGCTCACTTACATTTCTTCTCATGTATTGTCTATCCTAATACCAACTTCTGTGGTACATCAGTCTTGCTGCTTGTGACTTCCTCATGCAAATGAGGTGTCCAGGTACTTCTCTAATGTGTTCTGTACTACCACCTTTGAAATACTACTGCGTAGATCCTCAGTTATTTGCAAGTCTAGTGAGATGGACAGTCCAATGTCAAGAGAAGGAAAAAAAGACTTCTGAGAAACTTCTTTATTTTATCTCTTCCCTCTGGTGTCAGCTTCTGCCTGGCTCAAAAAATTAGGACAACGCCAAAGAAATGTTTAGATGCTAAGAACAAAATCGGAGTACTGCTTCAAAGCAGGCTTTGTCTGCTGTGAGTATCCAGCAGTATTCTTTTCACCATTTTATTTGATGGTAGGAGAAATATGTACAAAAATGTTTGGGCTTTATAGTTGGTGGTTTGGTGTTTGCTTGTTTGTTTTCAGCTTCAGAACAGAAGGAGTTTTCTGTTATCCCATGAACATTGAAGAGAAGAGAATATGTGAGCCATACTGCTCAGTTGAAACGACTGATCGTCATTTCAAGCTGCCAATTTCGTCTTTTGTCCTTGCACAAAAAATACACGCACACATTATTCATTAAACAATACAGTGTCCCTGTCTGTAAAATACTCCACGTGTTAGAAGATCAGAGCTCAGTGCCCAGTGGAGTGATCCCTTGGTGATAACCACACCCTGTGGAGCTTTGCTGTCTCATTGCTTTTCTTCTTTTCCTTTCTATATTTTTGGTGAACATAACTCAGCCACCTTGAAGTTGAAGCACGCATTGGTGCAGAAGGACATTGCTTATATTTCATCTGCATTAGGAAGTAATTGTGTCAAACTCTGTGTGACTTCCGTGTTGCTGTGAAGAATCCGTTACTACTGACATTTATACTCCTTAGAACCTTTTCTATTTCCTAGATTTTCTAATTTCCTAGAACTTTTATTATTGCTCTTTTTTTTGACAGAATTATGTATTTAGGAGCATAATTTTTATGTAGTTTTAGTTTTTTCTCTTTCTGCTGTCAGCTATGGTTGGGATTTAAAAAAAAATAAGTCTGCTGGGTCCTGTTGTCATCACTTTAATTATGCCTTTACTCCTTCTTCACTGAATTCGGGTACCTATATATGTGAAGCTGGGAGGAAAGGGAGTCTGAGCCCAGTCAAGGATTTTGAGGCTATTGCTGTGATCAAGCTTCAGTAATTTTTTTCTCACCTTGGCTTCTGCCTTGATGTTGAGTACTGAGTATCTGTAAACAGAGGAAGAGAGAAGGTGGAGCCAAATGCTAAAAGAAAGGGTAGCTGACAGGCACAGTGAACTGAATTTTGGAAGTATCTTCATTTTAGAAGTCTCTTGGAAAGCTTTAGTCTTTTGACAGAAGACAGCAGCAGTGTTGCAGTGGAGGTAAGTTAGAAGTAATAGAAAACACACATCTGGAGGAATGTGGAATGTAGAAAAAATAAGTTACAGGTGTCCTGAATTAGAGGCCATGCAGTTTGTACGTGTTTCCCATCTTTTTGTTCAACTCCAGGCAAGCTTCTTAGTGAATTTGTCAGTCACAAGAAGCACAGCACAGATGCTAGGTAATACTCTTTAACATAAAAAGCAGTTGCTAAAGCAAGTCAGTAGTGCCTAGTTGTTCTGCATGCAGTCTTGTTTATGACAGAACTTGTCTTATAGCTATGTTCAGGGGCTTCCTTGAGCTATTTGCCTAAATCTATACCTAAAACTCCATCTTTTCAGCCCTCAAGTGATAACAGTTGTTTTAATCTTTTCTCTTTGTAGACAACCTACAGCAACTACAGGTTTGAAAATTTGAGAAGATAATATTTAATGCACCAATAAAATAGTCTGTGTAATTACTGATGTCTTAACTGAAGAAAAAAAAGACCTTAATTTTGCTTTATTTGTTTAAATAGATTACAAGTATTTTATTCTAATTGCTACTTTACTTGCACATTGCTTTTTCTTTGCCCATGTGTATGGCAAGTGCAGTGTCCCAGTGTATGCTGCGTATAAAACTTCCTGTATCCTAGCATGTGACTAGGACCAAGAAGTCAGACTGATCTATTAATGACAGCTCAGCTCAGTGCTGTCCTTTTTAGCTGTTAGGGGATTCAGTCCTTTGAACTGTTGATCGTTTGAACTCCATTCTTTTTTTATTCCTGTAAGGTCCCAGGCATCTCAGGTATGTAGCTTAGTATTTGCAGCCAAATAAAGTATGGTTTAATTTCTGTGCCTATCTAAAGGTTTCTTTCCTTCTCCTTGAAGAACTGGCAGAATCCAGTGAAGGGAAGAGTGTACGAGAGTCTTATATTTGAAACTTTAAACAATTTGTAATAACCTCCATCTACCTTAAAGGCAAAATATCTTGGTTGTATAACTAAAGGAGCTAGTAATATGAAAAAGAGTCAAAGACTTCTTATTGCCTATGGCATGACTATAAAAATGGTTTTAGAAATATAAGTTTTGCTCATTTTTCTCATACAAACACTTCTGTAGACACATCTACTAGCAAAAAGTTTGCTGAATCAGCTTAATGGGTGAATATTTCATTAGATTTTCCCCACTCTTCCAGTCATTTATTTCTAATACTTAAGGTTATTCAACAAAGAAAATGTTACCCATCTAGTGAAAACAGCTGTTGTTCTGATTCCTGACTTTACCTGCTCAGGAACAAACAATACCTTTTATTCTATGTAAATTTTAATACAGAACTTGTTTGTATCTGAAGGAGTCTCAAGAAATAAAAGGGAAGTTCAGGTTGTTCCTAACAGAATTCTTTTTCAGTTCCACCTGTACTTTTCAGCATCGCTTTCTCATATTCATTAAAAATGCTGTATTTCTCTGCCTTAGTGTGTTTAAAGATCATGATTTAAAAAAACCCTTTTGTCTCTAATTAAGAAAATACAACACTTTTAACAGATTCCATAAATGGGTTGCATACAGAAGTTAATATGTGATAGTGGAACAGAAATTTGCATCTCGAGACATTAAGGAAAGGAAATTGTGGTCCTATCTTGTGTTTCCCTTCTATTTTGTTTCAGCAGCTTTTATTATGGGCTACCTAGGTATTCCCAATGCAAATACTCAAAATGGGATGAAGAAACAAACGGTTTGCACTAATATACTTTTATTGGTGGGTAAGAATATTTTACTGAATCACAGATAATATATTTCCATGAGAGCTCTACCAGAGACTAGTAGAAAACTTTAGTGAATAAGAATTAGGGGTAGAATAGGAAAGGAACAATTGGTATTCAGTGCCCTGATGAAACTAAAGCATGATTTTGATGTGAGCAGTCATCTGTGGAGAGCTGAGGTGGTCAATGAAGAGTCTTGAGATCAGCATAAGGTAAATGTGAACAAGGATCTTAATATTGAAAATAAAAGCAAAGATGAGGAAAATAAATGTCTTTTAAGCCACTAGAGGAAAGTTCAGAAAATGCCACATCTCTTTTAACAAGTAGGTAAATTGTAAATTGACTGAGAGCTTTTCATGATATTTAACAATAGAAGCAACAAAACACAAATACCACCTGCTATAATTACTGTCTTTGAACTATACTGGAATGCTTGGATGTTATTTCTGTAAGGCACCAGGAAAGTATCAAGTCTGCAGGAGGGACAGAGTAGTGCACAGAGGAGGAAAGACAGTTTTATTTTTACTTTATATGGGGTTTTTTTGTATTCCTTCTCTTGCCTCTTCTGACTTGTATAATTAAGTTAAATTTCCCTCTTCATTTGGCTGTCTTGCAGAGGATGCTATGGAACATCTTTCAGAACAGCTTTTTATGAAGAGTATAAACAGCTAAATCAAGGCTGTTCTGCTTGTTATTAAGGTTTGAGTAGTGGATGCTAAATTTACACAGAGCAATTGAACTTCTAGTACATTGTTAACGAGATTGCATTCTATATACTCTTATTTGCATTGGGGCACAGTTATGTGGTTTTATCTTAGGAAAAAAAATGAGCTGGAAATGGCTTCTCTACTGTATTATGTTTTATGCTATTTGATCCAAATTCAATCTTAACTGCAAGTTTTGTGTTTGGGTTTTGAGGCTGTTTTTTGTATGTTTTTCATTTAGAAAGTCTGTCTGCTCTCTAAGGAGCTAGAGCTTGAAGGACATTAAAAGCTGAACTATACTCAGAGTGTATTTGTAAGTAACTTAAATAGGACACTTTTCCACTGTGAACAAGTAAATCACTAGAGGGAAATACAATATTATATAGTTTCATGGCTGTGTCCTGGCAAATTTATTTAAAAAACCCACCAACTGGTAGCAATCTGTGGAATCACTGTTTCATGTCAGCTGATGGGATTGAGGGATGCTGAGAGTGAGCCATCTAATGGCAATCCATTTCCCATGCTCCATTTCCCACAAGCACACAAAGCTTATTGACTTTCTTGATTATTTTTTTTTTCTTATCAGTTGGTTTGGTATTTGTGTTGTCAATATCAGTCCAACAGCTTAAAAATCTATGCAATTCAGATATGCTGATTTCACCTCTGCCAAGTGAGAGTTACTTCCAGTGTTGGAAGCTGGTTTTGAATGTCATGTGAAGTCCTGTGCCCTATTACACTGGGCACAAGAGAGTGAGTGCTGAAACCAGTACCTGCAATTAGAAAGGGAGTTTACAAACAGTAAAGTTATCTCACAACAGCCTGAAAATGCATATCTGTCACTTCAAGGACCCAGACATGCCCTAGGACACTGCCGTAAATGGGCCTCAGAATGTGCTTCTGTCAGGTAAAATGGCCCAGAGTAGTCAGCCTCTTAAAATGTGGTAATGATTCAGTAGAGATGATGGGGAGAAGTTATTTGCTGTGATGCCATCCTTTTGTTTTAACATGCCTCCTTTCCCCAAGTAACTAAATCGTCAGTTATTCAAAACCATACCGGTTTTTGTCATTAGGCTTGGCTGCTTTTCATGCAGCAGTTCTGGGATTTTACTGAATTTTATTATAGTTATGATTAAAAATGATAATATAATCTTTGACAGTGATACAGGTAATACAGTGTTTTGTGAGGAGGAGAGTAATACAACTCATCAATCTCAGGCCTGTGGTGTCATAGGAGTAGCAGTGGGAGAAGCATCTTGCTGTGTTTGACAATTGCATTAAATTAGAGCATAATCAAACATAGAAGCTGATGTTTTTTTCAAGGAGAAATTCTTATTTATATTTTTCAGTACCACCAAAGGGGATGTAATTTGCTACTATGGAAACAAAGGAGAACCAGAACCTGTTTTCCTAAATGCTGGTAGGTTTTCTTCAGAAAAGTCTGAATATTACCTTTTGTTATTTTAAAGGAATCAGGATGGAGCTGTATTACTCTAGTAACCCAGCTACTTAAGGATTGTCTTCACTAACTTTTTCTTTGCTTTTTTTTTAAAGAAAAAAAAAATCCTTACATTCATTTACGTTTTTACTAAAAAATTTCAGTTAAGAATCAATAGTTTGTTAAAAGCTTCTATCCATGATGGTGTATCCACAGCTGGTGGAATGCTCCTTAGGTAACTCAGACTGAAAGACAGAAGTCTGTCTTGAGGAATGGAATTTTCAAAGGTTCAGGGATTTGACCCTAGATCTCTTCACCCAGTAGGGTGAAGGGCAGAGTGTGACTGTGCTCCCTTAGGAACAGAGTTGGCTTAATTGCATTTTGGTTTTAATTTGTTTTATCAGGTGTGTGTTCAAAATCCAGGGCTTTGCTAGTGACTGTAGAGAACAGTACTCCAAAATTCATCACCAAAAAGCCCATTTAAATGGACAAGGGCACACAAAAGGCTCTGAGCAGCATAGCTGGCTGATAAAAGTTAATGACAATGGCTTATTTTGCCTGCTTAGGTTAATGGCCAGTATGTTGCTACCAGTAGGCAAATAGCTACTCTTGCAATCACAGCATAAATTCTTGGAAATAGCTGTTAGATTTTGTACAGCTACAGGCACAAAACAGGTTTTAATACAAATACTTAAAAACCCCAATCTGGCTGCTTGTTGTAATTAGAAACTGAATCACAGACTTTAGGTATCTGTAGACTGTAGCAAAGGTAATTCTGGTTTCCATGCCTCAAAAGCTGAATTCTTTTCTGTGTATGTGGCTGTCTTTAGGAAGAGATGAGGTTTGGTAATCTTTGTGCTTAGTTTGAATTGTGATGAGAAATGTAGGGTACTTCTAAAGGGAAAGCTCCTTCTGGTTATCAATTCTTGCTTTGCAGTGGTTTTCAGGAGTAGTATCAGAGGCAAAAATAAGTTGATTAATGTGGCTAACCTGGAAAAGACCACTGCAAAAAATGCAGGTAGTTCTTCTGTTGTAGCGTTTTCACAGTTTGGCAAACCAGAGGTTAAAAGTAGCTGCTGCAAATACTCATTGGAGTAAAACTGTGAAACAAAGTACTGAATGTTAGCACAGAAAAGTGCCTAAGCACAGCCTAGTGCAAGATACATGCCTGCTGTCGTCTCCTGTTAGGAATGGGGCGTGTGTTTTATAGCTTACCTGCAGGAAAAGATTAGCTGGGGAATCACCTAAACATTAATAAAATTTGTGGAATCTGTAATGATGACTGCAAATCACCAGAATACCCTTTGCAGTTAAACTGGTTTCCTCCACCACCACCTTCCTGACCATTATTTAGTAAGTGCGTAGATCCTGTGTAGCTAGAAGTGGTCCACAGAGACTGGTCTGTAAATAGTTAATGGTTAATGTTTTTTTATTATGTATAGGAATATATGGATTGAGTAATTCTCTGTTGGATACACCATGGAAGAAACTTGAATATGGGAAGCAGCTTTTTACAGAGGTGGTCAAGAGAAGTCAAGACCTTACCAAAGAAGAATTGGTGCAGGAGCTTCTCACAGTGATGAATAATCAACAGCCGTAAGGACATATTGCGATATGACCATTTTAAAAGTTGCATCTAGAAACTATTTTGACAGAAAATAAACTTCAGTCTTAAATTAATTGACTAAAGATAGGTAATAAAGAGGAAAGGTAAGGTTCTTTCTCTCCAAAGAGACTGACTTCCAACAATATTGATTTTTAAGCAGCATGCATGGTAAACATTATTACTGCAGTCTTGGTACTGATAGACTGTACACTGATTTCTCTGTGCCCTTTTCTTTAAAGATTGCACTTCTCTTAGTAAGGGTAATAAGTGCAAAATAGGGGATTTCTAAGTTGCTTGTAAGCTTTGTGGAGGCTCACATCAGGGTGAGGTTCAGTTTCTTACTGCACACAGGGTAAACGCTTGTTTACATGAGCAGGTTTGCATCAGCAGCTGCTAGCTACTCTGTGTTGCTACCCAGAGTGTAGACAGAGGGTGGAGAAGCAAGGTATTTTCAGAGTAGAAACAGCTGCCTTCCTCAAAGTGCAGTTGTTTTAGGCTAATTGAGGGAAGGAGTTGAGGGTGTATTTGCACAATTCTGCTGTAGGTCTCTGGTCCAGGAAATTCCAAAGAGATGAGTTTGAGTATGTAAGTAAGGTTCTTGCACTCATGACTGGCTGCACAGTGAATCTGAGCCTGAAGCTAGGTGTTTAGAAGTAAAGGAAATTGATACCATTTCAATGTCCAGACATGGAGCAGGGTAAAGGAGGTGCTGTTGTCTGAGTTTGTATCATTGCTCACCATTTAGTATCTGTCATGTTTTGCCTGTCTTTTACCTGACTATGGGGTGATCTGTATTGAAGCCAAGCTGTTTCTGGTATATAGGTCCAGTTTCCTACCTTTATCAGGCAATTTTAATGCCAGTGTTCATGTTCGTGGCATTTTTCAGTGGTTCAAAATAGGTGTTTATGTAAGAATGAGACATCTGAGCAGTGAGTAGTAATTGGGAAATCTACTAAGCCAACTTAGTTTTTCATGAAGAGCGAAGAAGAGATTTCTCATTAAAAAAATGTTACACTTTACCTTTTACTTCTAAAAAGACAAAGGTACAAGATACATTACAGTCCAAGTGATCTTAATGTTCAGTAATTCAGTAGGATCTCATCTGAAATAATCTTACTATAAAATGGCAATACTTACAAAAAGCATTATTTAAAATTAAGTTTGTAATACTTCCAAAGCACTTTTCATATTGGTTATGAAAAGATAATTTCATCTTGAACACATGGATATGCACTAGCTTTGAACTTTTTAAAAATATCTTATTGCATATTACCTTATGATCCCTTTGTGTATGTTGCAGGAATTAAGTGGTTTAATCTTAGAATTCCCTTCTTTCCTGCTGGATACAGGATTTTGTCATTTATCCCCTCTCTTTGATTAGCCCCACCTTTGACTGTGATCTCAGGGATGTACTGCACTCCTTCTAGTCTCTTTAAAACTGCTTAGGGTCATTAAGCTGGAGAGCCCGTTGTGCTCATACAGAAGCTGTCAGTGGTGGGGTACGAGATAGAAGCTGATGGCTCTCAGCGGCTGAATGTCCTGCTATGTGCCTTCTCTGTTACATCATGGTATGCTCCAGCCATATGCCCAACACAGGCATCAGAAGAGCTTAGTTGCTCTGTTCACACTTATTCTTGCTTTTCCCTGAAACACCCAGATGTCCTCTTCTCCACCACAGCAACAAAGAAAATGATCGCAGTTAGATGTAAAGGTCAGTCAGAGTATAACAAATTGCACAGTCTCCTCTACAGGTCAGGATGAGCTCTGAAAATGAGGTTGAATTGATCAGTCTTTTCTGTTCTGCCCTTTTACCCAACATCCACTGCACAGCTGATAAGCTGCTGAATTATTACAGTATGATAGGTACAATTATAGATGGGTCTGTTCTAGGAGGCAGAAATAGGATTATTTCTTGGAGGATGGAAGAAGCTTAAAACTCAAACACAAAAACCTGGTACTAAATTGATAAATTTGATAAATAACATTGGAATCTTTACTGAAATAAGAAGCTGTACTCATGGCTAGCATTTAAGGATATATTCTGGTGATGTGAGTGGAAAGCTGTGGGTGTAGGGTTATTGCAGCAACCTTTGAGACCTTAACATATCTTCTATGGGATGCTGATACTTGTTTAATTACAATAAACAAAGCTTGACATGCTTTATAATAAATCTGTGTTTCTAAACATCTTTCAAGCTTTGATAGGAATGTATGTCAAGAAATTTGGATGGTTGCAAGCTCACCTAGTTGCCTGATGCATCTTCGTGAATTTTATTTTGGGGATTGTCCTGGGTGTATTCCACGTATTCCAGATAAGATCAAAGAAAGCAGAGAGGTCTTTCTTCAACGTAAAAAGAGCTCCCAGAGTCTAACTGGAAAGATGCTCATTTATGTGATGGACCTCAAATTATTTGATCATGAATATTTTAATTTAAACCAAAATACTAGAAAGACAAAGAATAACAAGGAAAGTGAGAAAATTGTCAAGATACAAAAAATATTTCTTAAAGTGATACAGAAGTTCAAAAGCTTGAAAGAATTCTCTTTGGGAAAGAGCTTACAAGCTGTTTTATCTTGGTTTTCCTCATACCTTAGTTTCAGACACAATTCACACTTTTGTACTTTTTGAAAAGTGATTGGTATTTATCAATCACTCAGTCAACACAGCTCACTTTAAGAGGGATGAATGTGTTAATGTTGGAAAATTCAATTATATTTTTATTGCTTCTTTTTTCAGTCAGTTACCAGACCCTGCGATTGAAGAGCAAGGGAAGGATTACATACAACCTGTACTGAATGAGTATGCAGCTATTTGTGTTCGTTGCCCAGGTTATGGAACAAGGTAAGAAACCTCACAGTCAGAAATAGATGTATACTGGATCAAAGCATATCTCCAATCAATACTATACTGCTGTAAGTTTTAATTCTATAGTGATTGCTTTAAATTTATTTAGATATTACTCAAGTATAATTCAATGAAGTATTTCGTTGCTCAGTGTTCTGCTGCCTTAGATTTACTACTAATGAACGTTTTAAGTGCACATGGTTCACCTTTGGTGGGGAGTGTGACATAGCTTCAGTTTTTCAAAGGCAAGGTAATACAGTTCCCCAGTGTAGCAGCAGATCTGACCACCTCTAATTTTGATCTTACCAACAATACTGCAGAATTACATAATTTCTTTTTCAAGAGTGAGAGAATATAATCTTCAGAGGTTTCTTTAGGCATGTCATTGTAATATGTAACTGCCATTTTCATACATTAGAAGCCTGTTACTGTTGTCCAAAACAACATGTATTTCTACTTTTCCATAACTGATGCTGCTGTTTTTACTGAGATATTCTTACTTTCTGCTCAGACTGTTGTTCTAAAGCGGCAAGAATAGAATAATGTAATGAATATTGCATTTAATCCTTTATGGACAAATTATAGGTGAACCCTGTTGCTGCTGGTAGGGAATTCCTCCTCTAAAAGTCTGCCAACATTTTTGTCAGATTGGTCTCTGGCATACTCAACCATAGTATTTCCTCTGTAGAGATGTAAATTGTGAAGCCGAGAGCACTCCCTTCTGCAAGTATTTTAAGTTGGTATTCTGAGAAAGAAACCACTGCCAAAACCAACTATCTCTGTAAAATATATTCAAAGAGCAATTTAAATATGGCTTATGAAGACTTAAATTGGTAAAGCAGCATCTTTCTTCCTTTGCTTCACAGGTTGCAGTCTAGCTATTTCAAAGGAAACAAGGATAACTCAGTAGAAATCCTGACCTCTTACTGGTGAATTAACACTATATTTCAAGTCTTCCCTGCTACTGTAATTGTATGCTAATACTTACCTTTCCCTTAGCAACATGGCTAAGTGAATTGAGGCTGTTAGTTAGGCCTCACAGTATTCTTCTGAGGAAATTAAACAGTTTTTACATGAGTGAACAACTGTGAGATGATTTGGGGAAGGCCACCACATCAGGATGGTGAAAAATTCCTACTTCTGTCAGTCGTCTCTGTCTGGCAGGGTACTGCAGTGTCCATAGAGAAACAACAGCTCATACCTGACAGAGTGGCATAGATGCATGAATGGAATCTGCTTTTCATGAAAACAGATTTCTTCTTCGGAAGGTTCCTTGACATAGAAAAGTTTCTCTGTGATCATGTATCAGTGTCCTGTGATAATAATTAATTATGTTTAAATATTAATGGACAATGGATTTGAAAGGAAGGAATGGAAGAGTGCCACTGATATGAATAACCCATCAGGGAACATGTAGGCTATGAAGAAAAGCTTGGGTTTATGCTACTTCTGAATGGAACACTTGACACTTAAATGAAGTTTAACCTTTTATCATACTTTCTAAATGAGAGGTTTTGTGTCAGCTGCTGCAAGTGCAGAAGGGAACTGGAGTTAGTGGAGTGATAGAAGGGACTGAAAATGCCTGTTTGAACTTGCCAGGATGATTTCTGTCCTTCTAGTGCGATGGTGATATGGTCAAGAAAAAAAATGAGCTGAAACCTTCAGGGATGAGAGCTGGGACTCTGCAAATGCGTATCATGGACCCAAGACTTAAGCTTCTACCCTTCTGTTGTTTCAGGACTAACACGGTCCTTCTCATCGATTCCGAAGGATGGGTTACTTTCACAGAGCGCAATATGATCAGTGTAGAAGACAACCAGTGGAAAACAAGCACCTATGAATTCAAGCTGTACACTTAACTTTCCATTTGAATGGTATGTAATAACAGCAATAAGAGAACAAGCCATTAAGCTCTAGTAAATGTTTTGTGTCAGCCTCCAGAAGCTAAAAATAGCAAGGAAATTAAAGGTTTAAATAAATTGGTAGCATACCCTATCAGGGCTCACAAATCCTTTGGTTGAAACCAGAAGAAACTGTTTTGACATTAAGTAGCAACTTGCGATCAGAAATAACTGTTTCAGTATCTCTTAGCCTCCAAGGCAGGGCCGTGTCTGCCCAGGATGGCATCACTGCTTTTTGTGGGTGTTCTCAGTTTTGGTTTTTAGGCTGTTTTAACTAGATTCTGAAACACCTTTTCAGTTCTGAGGAGGAGAAACATTTGCTGGCCTTTATGGTTCTACCTGAAGGTTTTATCAAACGGGTACTTTTAACATTGTGTAGCTTACGCCAGTGTGTGTTAAATGAATGTATTTTATCTTTATGGCATTAAATGCTTCAATAACAAACTTTTCAGCAGTGCCATGGTGCAATGTTGTGCCTGGGGAGGGCAGAGCATAGTAGAATCGTTTGTATTGTGCCATCTTATTTCCTGATAGTCTAATTAGCAATATCAGTTTTCTTATCTTCTTCCCCAGCAGACAGGTAAGTAATTCAGCAAACAGAAGCTGAATATGAAGTTTACATATCTTGGCTGTTTTGTATGTGCAGTTTTGGCTTCATGTTTTTATTGGTATAATATGTTGAAGCCTGGAGTGATTGCTCATAGATTTTTAGTAAAAAAAGCTATTTGTTGTAAGGTGACATTATTATGGTCTTCTATTGTTGAAAAAGTTGGGTATTAAGATGCACTTCATGTGTTCTGACATCTGTGAATTAAAAGGCTATTTAAATGCATGCTTTTTTTTTTTTTTTTTCAATTATTCAGTGCCAGTGTAGGTGGTAGAAGATTCTAGCTAATACCAAGATATTTTAAAGCCCCAAGTAATTTTGCTGCCTTTAGTATCCTGTTATGATTTATTTTGAATGCTGAATGTAAAGTTAGTAATGCATGACTGCAGGTCTTTTTCTCTACATAGGCTGAACGTATTCTTTTTACAAGCCTCTGATTAATTATTACGAAGTAGCAAGATTTCTACCACCCATCACAAAGACGTGCAACTGTTCTTCTGTATCCAAACTCGGGTGTTTCTGTAATGGAGAAGCCGTTCCCAGATTTCTAATTGCCAGGAGATGCTAAAGCAGCATTTAGTCAATTATTTCCTTTGTATTTGCATATTTAAATAGCTTCTAGATACCAGGACTCCTTGCATGGTTAGCTACAGGTTGTTGGTTCAGTGCTATATAAATGGCTTTTTGACCACCTTCATTGCAAGATGATCCATATAGTCTGCTTGGGTTGTACATGGTTACAAACTTGGAGCTTTCCAGCCTATCTTTCTGAGCTGTAGGAAGAAGTGCTTAGCCTTCTTGTATTTTTTGATGACTGTTTAAACCACATATTTGTACAAATAAAAGTTATTGTAACTTTTAGATGCAGGGAAATAGCCATAGCTGTCTTCAATTTGAATTCGACAATTGCGTATTTAAAACCAAAACTCTCCTTCAATGGCTTGCACTTACTGGGAGTTTGCATAGCAAAAAAATCACCAGTTTGTATTTGAACAAGACATTCTCTTTGAAGACATTACCTAAATGGTAAGCATACTATTTGCAAGGCATTTCATGCTAAGAGCATTTAGAAGCCTTAGTTTTTACAATAGTCTTGTAATAATAAAAGATTGTTATCTTTTTACACATAGGTAAAAGAAAAGCAAGTCCGTTTAGATATAAAACCAAATGATAACATATTTTGCTTTGCTTAAATAAAAAACTCTAAATTTGGGATTTGCATTTTCTGACAAAATAAAGGACCAAAACCTCTGATGTTACTTTGTATTATGTCAGAATAGTTAATGAAGTGAGGTGTGGTTTTAACTTTTGAAGCTTATGAGAGTTTTGTCATTGGCTTCAGTGGAAACAGGAACAGAACTGCAGTGTGGATAGCAGCAAATCCTCATATTGAGTATTCATGAAGTGCATAATTTACAGTGTGCAAATTAGAGTTGCAATAAATCCAGTGAAAAAAGTAAACTATAGCTAAAGTATTTTTATAGAATTATTTTTTTAACAATGAAAGTGCAAATATCAGGTTTAAAGGATATGAAGGAAAAAAGTGTAAATAGGGAACGACTGCATGTCATTTTTATGAAGTTTGCTTATATATAACATCTTTTATGTGTTATGTTTGCAAGATTTTTGTTTCCTGTCTTTTTCTGTCAAAATGGTGGTGGAAGAATTTTTAAAACATCTGTACAAACTCATTTATATTTTTCCTTTAAATTATTTCATAATTGTTGTTTATATGTATGTCTATATTCATAATTAGACTCAGAACAAAGTGTATCTGGTGAACAGTCAGTCACCATGAATCAACTGTGCATTTTTGCACATAGGTTTATGTAACTTTGTGTGATAAGATGAAGTAAAATCTTTCATGAGGTATTAGCAATGAAAGAGATTTAAGTGCATTTCTGGTACTTATTTAAGAGTGGTGGGGTGGGTTGGGGGGATTTGTGTTTTGGCATGTGCCAGTTGTTGGGTTTTTTTGATTGCATGCTGTTGCATACTTATCCAGGTAAGAAATTGAAAAGTGTTTCTTTAAAGCTAGTAGTCCTGGTTTGGGGCATTTTGCTTTGCTTTTCAGGTTAGTAAAGAGATTGTATTTACTGGAATGCTTCCAGACCAAGTGTCATAGAAATAATTCCATAATCAGCTCTCCAACTTCTGACAACTAAAGTGCCCATCACTTCCCTCCAAAAAGCTATTAGCTGTTACTAGCCCCAGCTGGATATTCCAAGCACAGCAAGATCAGGTAGAAATCTTGAAGGTTCTCAAATAGTGTCTGAAACCAGTGTCTGGAGCATCCCTCTTGGAATCTGCCGTCTTCTTTGCAGACTGGAGTGGGTCATCAAATCTTAATACCAGAATGTGCCAAGCAAGTCGTTAAAGGAAGAAGGACTGGCATATTCTTGTCTATAAAATGGTAGAGCTGTCTTGGAGGTAGTTCTAGCTTTACAAGGAATGACCTTTTCAAACTGACAGTCACTTTGAGAAGTCAAGCAACTGGTATTGTCGTTGTTAAGGTGGCAACCCAGATGAAATCTAGGCTTAAAATAATTTCAGCAGATATACAGTACAGCTAATAGGAAGGGAAGAGCAAACCCAGTACTTCCTTAGTGAAAAGCCTGAACCTCACAAAATGCTACTGAAGGGCAAGAATCCAGGGTCACTGGAAGAAGCCTGGATCCTGGACAAACCTGAGAGCCATGTTACACTAAGTTGAGGCTGTCTTGATTCTGTGCCACACCTGGACCCTAGCGGAGATGTAATTGTCTTGTCTCCCTGTTAGCAGCAGCTTTAATAAATATACTCTTAGCAGACCAGAGAATGAGTTAAGCCTTTGGAGGTCCTCAGTATGTTCAAAGCTTAACTGATATTTATTGTTATACATTGAATATACCAAAATAAATATTAAGACAAACTACTGCTAAGACCTGCACAGTTTCCATAATATCATGAGGAAGTAATTTCAAAATTAAGTGATGAAATTCTAAGCAGTAATAAGGAAATAATTAAAGCATCTTACATTTCAAATTTAGCTTGAACTTAAATAATGCATGTTTGTGGCTTAGCAAACATCTCTATATGGAATGCTAGCTACTAGGAATTAGTTTTATATCATTCAGATTCATGTAATAGAATATTGCTAATGTTCTTCCTCTGATTAATTTTCTGCTGATAGCTTCTGAGGATTTAGGAAATGGTCTTGACTTGGTGAAAATAGAATCTGTATTGTAATCAGCTGGGAAGGCAATAGAATAAACTGAGAATTGCATAACCCATCAGTATTGCTTATGCTGTGAAATATAAGTTAAGGTGAACAGAGTGAAGAAAATGTTGAATACATAAAATGCATAAAGTAACTACTTTTGGAATAGCCTGTATCAAGAATTTAGGAACTGACAGAAAAAAAGCAGTGTCAGGTTAAAGTACTGAAATTTACCGTATCTTTTGAACTGAATCTGTTTTTAGGATCATAGATGGGGGGGGGAAATAATGTAAACTTTTATACAAAGTGGAGTAGGCAAGAATTAAAATCCAAGTCATACACAACATGAATGAGGAAAAAGTAATTGCTGATTCACATGAATTTTTTATCTTTGTACTAGAAAGATAGATGGAGAAAACCATACAAACTGAAACCAGACCAGAAGTTGGAGACATGGAGAAGGCCATATTTAATTTAGCAGAGAACAGATATAATGAAGAAAATCCATTACTTTGAAAGATGTTCTGAAGATTATCTAACAGAAACTTGGATGGAAAAGGCTAGTTTGCAAGGAGACAAAGATGGATGGTGGAGCTTTTAAGATGTCCAAGCTACCAAAGGAATAGTTACAGGCACTCTGAGACCTTTATTCTAAACATGAAGTTTTGTGTGGCCTGATTAAGCTACTGTTTTATATAGGTAAAATAATAATAGATTTATACATTATACCTAAACTTCTTATATCTACATATACTTGGTGGGGAATTTGGAATCATCGCCAGAATGGAATATCTGTTCTTATATAACTTGCATTCAACCATTCCAGAATGGTCTCTCTACATAGAGAATTCTGTAAGGTATATCTAGATAGTGTACTTTTAAAAGTGGTTGGAAGGTAAAGGTAAAATAAACAGCAAGTAGGACTGCAGAGTCAAATACTTGATAATGACTTCAGGGGAGGTATAGGTTTAACAGGTGAGTAAACCAAAATAACCTCCATATTCTGAATATCCTTCTAGAACATTCAGTGTGTGTTTTATTTCCATCTAATTCCGTGATTTATCTTATTTTCTTTGTCTCTTTCTCAGCTCGAATGATCACATTACTTATTAAAACTGTAGTATGTACATTATTAAGTATTTGTCTCAACAGGCAAAACCTTGATTTTTTTTCTTAAAATGTTAGAAAGCCCACATGAAGTCTTCATCCCTCTCCTGAAGAGTCTGAGCAGAAAGCAGCATACATTGGTGTGATCTTCTGATCATAAATAACAACAAAACACCAAACCTGAAACCCCAAACTATAACAGCAACAGCTGATAAAGCTATTACTGAAGCTATGACTGTTAAACAGGTATGGGACTTGAGTTCCTTTAGATTATTTTTGGATAGCATAGAAGCAGTTATGAAAATGATTTATGCAGCATAACTTTATGAGAATGAGTATGCAATGTAATGATGCTGCTATCTGCTTGGTCTCTGCAATTATTATTATGTAATATGAACTTAAAGAATTTAAACAAATGTGTAAGATGGCCTTTACATGAGCACTTGGAAGGGTATTTAGTCCTCATTTAATTTGCTCTTAATTAATGGGACTTCAGCACATTCTTAGTCATTGTATGCTTAAATATGCTTAGTCAAATGTTCTAGAATTGAGCTGGTTTTATGAAGCTTTATCTTACAAGCTTGTTCTTTTTGCGGCCTCTGCGAACACTGGTGTCTACTCGAGCAGTGAGGTGCCTTACAAGCTTCCCCCTGGTGCCAGAGGCAGGGTCTTCAGTGGATACTTCATCTGGCACGCCAGCCCCCATAGGTAAAGGGCCAGCCTTGGTCAGTGACCTACCAGATTGTATAAACACATTGATTGCTTTTGCTCAGAGGAGGAAGCCACATTGCTTTTCAGACATTAATTAAAATAGATTAAATAATAAACCGGAGAATATGTGGAGCCAGCAGTGTCTCTTCTTGTGGTACAGCATTATAATTAGTATTCAATAATTGAGGCTTTTGCCTCTCATTAAAAGAATGTGCTCTTCCAAGAAGAAGGTGAACAGTGAAAAAGGTGAATGTTTCTTCCAAGAAAAGGTGTATTTTCTCTTGCTGTACTAGCTCTGCTGTGAATAGCTACTGGAAGTAACCAGAGTCAAGCAAGGTCTTACTGAGCTGCGTTTATCTGCCTTATGTCTGTCATGTCTCACTTGAATGGCTGGCATTTACAGAGGGGTCTACATTAATACCTTAGTTTGATCAGTAGTGCCCTTACATGATTTTTCTGATAGTTCCTATTTACTGTGCTTTGGCTCATGTTTCAGGGCAACCTCAGATCACAGGGACTAGAGTGTTTGCAGAGGAGCAGAACTGATACATGCACTTCAGGAATGTGCAAAGTGTACTCTAAGAGGTACTCCAAGGTTTAGCCTGAAGTAAAACTGTCCAAAATGCACATAGCATGGAGATTAAATATTTAGCACCCATTGTTTGTGGCCTAAATCTGCTTAAGTTGGTTTACTTTATTTACAGATGTAGTGTGAGATAAATGTGTTAGATCAGTATCCTTGCAGTATGGCAGTTGCAAATTTTTCTGGTTTCTTTAGCAATATATTGTGCCAGTCAAGTCTGAGTACTCTCTTGGTATAATATGTATGTGTTTAGACTGGCAAAGCAATCCCAGAATGGCAGTTACATAAAAAACAGCCATACCAGCACAACTGGGCTTTCAGAAGCATAACTTATTTTGCCTCTGTTGGGGAAAACAAAGGTACTGACATTTATGGCTTTACTCATATAAGTGCAACTACACCTGGATTTTTGGCAGCCAAAGATTATGCTTCTGATTCATGTCTGCATGCCACTAGCAGTAAATATAGCAGACCAAGCTAAGGAATTGGAGCAACAGTTTCTTAGCTGTAGCTCACAGCAGCCTTATGGAACAACAAAGGACACTTTGTTATCACAGCTTTGAATTTAAAACATCATGATGTATAATGACTCAGGAGAGAAATTGTCAGTGGCTGGAGAACTTTAGGAAAAGCCAGAATGTCTACAGTAGCAGTAGTCATTGGACTGCTGCTATACTTCTGGGAAGGTAACTGAGATCGACTTGCAGAGGTGGTTTAACAACTGAACAGTAGTAGCATATGGTAAAGGTGTGTGATGTGAAAGCAGCCACAAGGCTGACTCAGGATTATTTTTTATCTTTACAAAGAGCAGATACATAGGCTCTATTCTAGAAAAGTACTCTGAACTATTTGAATTTAAGGACTCATAGAAAACCAAGTATGAAGACTGGTATTCTGTCCCACATAAACGTTAATTTTTTCTGTAATATTCCCATAGATAAATGTGTATTTAAGAGTTTGGGATTTTCAGCCCTAGGAACAGGTTTGCTCTATGTATCAAGAGCAAGCAAGGGCAGCCTCGGTCACTGTACAACAGATCAACCCAGGTCCATCTACCAATGGCAGAATGTTACTTATGAGTGATTTGTGCAGTCTGATTTCTAATGTGAAGCTCATCTTGTTACTTAAAAACCAGCATGTTACTGTTAGGGTGGTGAGGCACTGGAATGGGTTGCCCAGGGAAGTTAAAGTGTTCAGGGTGTTCAAGGCCAGGTTGGACAGAGCCTTGGGTGGCATGGTTTAGTGTGAGGTGTCCCTGCCCATGGCAGGGGGGTTAGAACTGGATGATCCTAAGGTCCTTTCCAACCCAAACGATTGTATGAGTCTATGGGTTTTTTTACATCCAAATTTGGAATATCTTAAATATAGTAGTTACTTTTTGTTCGACCTCTTGGTCATCAGATCCCATTTTAAGTAATGCTGACTTTAGAAAAACGCATTCTGAAGCTTTAGAGAAGTAACCATGTGGCTGAAGTTTCTCCAGCCAAAACCAGTAATTCACTGTGCTTCTGTAGACAGCACAGTTTAGTTTGCCTTAAATCTGCATGGATGCCAAGTGTGAGATTAGTAATTGTGCAGTACCACTGAGCCAAAGGATGTGTCTACTTTGATTATCTGCTGCCTCTTTTGACATCAGAGGACTGATGTGAGCTTGGTCATGGGGGTCCTTCTGACATCTCTCCATGGCTGTCAGGTGGTGACTGACCCAGGTTAGGTTGAGCAGCACAGATTTCAGCAAAAAGTGAGATGCAGAAGCACAATGTGAGTAAATACCAGCTTACCAGGACCACAAAAGATGTTAAAAGTTGCAAACCAAATTATTGTACTAAGATAAGTCATGTGGGCTGAGCAAAATTTGCCTTCCAGTAGCTTTCAGGGTCGGAACAGTGCAGTATGTGCTGCAGCTACTCAGGTTGTAACTAAGAATATGAAGACACTGGCTCCACCTAATTTTCATTCCGATGAATGCAGCCTGGTAACTTTATTGGGAAGGTCGTAGTTGTTTTCCTTACAGGGTTGTTTTCTGTAGTTTGTGTCCAGCAATAGTTTCTGTCCAGCCTTTCTACATCTTGTATGTGAAAGTCCCCTTGTCATTACGAATTTTTAATTATAACAGTAGGTCAGTATACTATTGTAAATCCTGTGTTCTGCAGCTGGACCTGCACACTTCAAAAGGCTGGGCAGAAGGCAAGATATGTGTGCATGTTTGGCATGTCCTTTGTCAGACATCCCTCTGAAAATTTCCAGGTGAATTTGCAACTTGTCAGACACAGCAGATCCGATTTAATTCTCCAGAGGTCACAAAGGCTTTCTGGGTTAAGAATTTAACCAGGATTTTAATGTTGTTTTGATGAAACCATTTTTTTGCTATGGGATTGTTATCCTTTTGTTTATAAAATTGAGAAGTTTATCTGCTGGTAATGTGAATGTCTCAAAGAATCAGCTCTTGCATTGTCGCTTCAAGTCATAGTGTTATGATTCTCTGAGAGCAGATGCACAGCAGAAGAACCAGCATGCTGGTTACTTTTTCATTTGCAAAGCACTGCAGGCATTTAGATTTTTTCAATTCAGTGCAATAACCTGTTTGTGCCTCTTGTGCTCTGAACTGATGCTGTTTTATGTGCATACAAAAACATTAACCTATTTTCTGAAGTGTGCAAGCCTCTCAGTGCACTACTTCAGTTACAGTCACGTAAGTTGGATGCAAATGAGTCATGACGCAGTTCCATATACTCTTTGAAAGGGACAATCTTCTCCTGTCACACTTAGCGATTTATGAGGTGACGTGACACAGCTCCTTTACAGTGAATGCCAACAGCAACTCCAGTTCTGTACTTAATCATGAGACTTTTCCTCAGCTGTGAAGGTCGAAGCATGATGTAAATGGGTGTTTTGAAAACTCTGGGTATTTATTGAAATGTGTTCCCGAGTGGTTTGAACATTCATAAAAGCCGTCATACTTTAAAAACCGCTCTAAAATAATGGCTTGAGTGTAGAAGCCTGTTATGAAGCAATTAAGTTAGAAACTGCTTTGGGTTTGAGGGCAGCTTGCAAAGATTTAAACCAATTTCAATAACCTTATCATTATGTGTTGATACAGTACCATGACTTTATGGCCATATAAATTGCCACCCTATCATTAGATCTGTTGGTCCAGTCAGACAAAGATGAAAGGCCTAACAGAGGTCTTCCAACTGTTGTTTTATAATATTACTATTCTCTTTCATAACAGTGTTTGGGGACCTCGAGGGCATGAGTGAAACGTTAGAAGAAGATTCTCATGTCCTGAAATTGCATATGGAGATAAACAAAAATATTTATCATAGTTAAATGCTATTTCACTGTTGGTGATCAAACCAATATAATGATAGTATTTTGGGTCTGGTGTTCTTTTCAAATCAGTTATGATAGTGAAGGACAGAAGAGGCAACACTGTAATTGAAGTGTAGCTATAAAAGCTAATATAGTTCTCTATTGGGGGGGCAAATTATGAGTATCAGAGCAAATTAGAGCAACAAACGTTCATTAACCCTTTAGAAGTAAATGTACATAGGATTTTTTTAGGACTTTATGTAGTTATTTAGGAATTGCGTCTAACCACCACAATCAGATTTGAGGTTTACTCTGTGTGCTGCTTGGGCCTTAAGCTATGACAGATGAATCGGCCTACTTAGGTTTATCCTGTTTATCAGTTTTGAAGGGGCTGTGCTGCCTGAAGCTATACAGCAGCGTTCAGAGGAGAAAGTGGTTTGGATTTTTTTCCTTTTTAGCTGGCTAGCACAGGGGCTAAAAGCCTTGAGCCGTCCTTCCATCATCTCTGATAAAAGGCAATTTCCTTCCTACAGCCTTTGCTTCTGCTGTGGTTTTTAAGTTAAAATGAGAGCGGCTGAATTGAACGGACAAAAGGCATTAACGATCAGCCGCCCCATACATTATGGAACCTCACACTACCACAACACATGAACGCCCTCTGCTTCTCCTCCTCGCCCTGCCGCCCTCAGCCGGCTTTGACCCCGTTGCCCGCCTTGAACGCGTTCCACCCCGGTGCAAGGAAGCGCCGAGCTCGGAGCTTGGGCACCCCCTCCGGGAACAGCGGCTCTGCCTTAGGCGAGGGCCGGGCACGCTGCACCCGGGGTAAGGAGCCCCGGTGGGGTTATGAGGGAGGCCGCGCCGCGCAGGCCCGGCGGGTATGCGCCGTTCGCCTCAGCCTCTGCCCGCCCCGGGCCCTCAGCACCCGGCTTTAACGGCACCGCTCATTGCTGCCGGGGGTTCCCGCCCTCGGCTGAGCTGCCCCGGGGACAGGGTCAT